CTTTAGCTCTTACATAATATTGCAACAAATTCAAATAAAAAAATCTAATTTTATACGCATTTGAAAAATATTAAATCTAATTAAGAAATAGTTGGGAAACCCTGCTTAATGACTTCTATTTTGCGATGCAATGAATTTAACATTAATCAATATAGACTTTCTATTTCTCTGATGTGTGTGTGTGTAATTTGTAGTAGTAGCTAAAGTTTTTAGGTTATATTTTATATATGCAAAAAAATTCCAAATAATTGTTTATCGAGGTTTTTCGTATCATTATATCTTACTCACTAAAATATTATTATAAAAAAATATATTTCTCGACGTATAAAAATAAACAAGTGGTGCATGGCATTGTGCCTTAAGGCAAATTGCTGAAACTTCCCGTATCGTGATGAAATATTCGAGGATTTTTTCTTCTTCTAAATCCTATTCTTCTTAATACTTCTCATCTTATCTTCACTCTTCTTTACTACCTTTCATTTAATTTAATTTAATTCTAATTCTCTAATATTTATACGTTCTGATTATATTTACATACATATTCTTTATTACAATTCATAATTCTATTATAATTCCAAACTAACTACTTAATATTTTAATAAATAACTAATCATGATCTCTCCCCATCATTACCAATTGAATGTTTTTTGATCCATTCAAATCGGATACTCTGTTCTGTTTTGTTGCAAATAGAATAACTTCAAGTACTCGGTTTTCTTATACCAAAGGCTCGCCCGTAGGTAAGCGGTTAAGAGCGACGGAACCTGATTCAGAGGTCCCGGATTCGATACCCACATCGAGCCGCGTGTTATCAGGCAGCAGTGGCAACGATTCTCACTTGGAAATATAGATAGCAATATGTTTCCAAGTGAAAATAGCCCTTATCCGGCATTGCTGCACAGAATATAAATATTCGTCCTATTACAGAAATTGAAATAATAATATATCTAACAGAGAAGCGACAACTGATTGGGTTGCCATATGTCAAACCGGCTAGTATTAACATTTCGAGACGGCGCTGATTTCAAAACAATATACTTTACCGACTGTTAACTTGATTTTATTGTGTATGTTACGCAATTTGTTTGATAAAAATTTGTGGTCATTGATGGACATGCATTTATAATACTAATTTATTTTTGATCATTTTATAAAGAATGGTGACGTTCAAAACAATTTCCAAAATGCATAGTTGGTTGATTTTGATATGTTTTACAAAAAATTCGCCGCCTTCATCCTAGTGCTTTTCTGTCATAACAAACAATACAATCCCTTTTTCTTTTTCTCGCATTTAGAATATGGCACTAATTAGTCAGTATATTTGTTGGTTGAATAATATCATCATCATTGTCGAACTTCTTCTTCTTTTTGTTGGTTGGATAATATCATCATCACATTCATCGCTATCATCGGTGCGAATAGTAATTTCGTAAAATTTGTCTGTATGAATGTCTATTTGAAACTCATCTTCACTACTGCTTAATTCACAAAATTTACCAGTCGTTTTTCCATATTTAAAAGAGCTCGGTCGTTTATAATATTAAAAAAAGACCCTATAACAAAGAAAAAGACTAAAAATACCACTAAAATAACTTAAAATTATTTTCAAAATACAATACTGTTTATCACTGGTATATGTAATTTATTCAACTTTTCGATGTAAACTGAGTCATTGTTTATAAAATAGCCTGTGCCTCACGGAATGTGTTTGTCCACTGAGGTGGACAGCCGTCCCCAAAGTGTTAAGTCAAATCAGCACAACAGCTTATAGAACTATTCGGTTCTATAAGAATAATAAAAAAACATATTATACCTAATGTGTAAAGACAAAATTTTCCAGACTCAAACTAAACAAACGGCAAATACTATGCGGACTAACAATTGAAGGATGAAAACGAAAACTTGTACTCAACAAATCATAGTAAGATATTAAAATTAGCGCATCTTAATATTATTTTGAGCGAATTGCGAAAAAATGAGGTTATCAGACTGGCGATATCGAAAACGGGCGGCGACGCATCGAAAACGTGGAACTGGTTAAAAACGGTTGAAATGGCGATTAAGGTATTAAACTATTTATCGTTTCAATGATAAATATATATTTGAATCGCGTGTGGTTCCTTATCTTATCACAAGAGCACATGTGAAAATTAAGTCTGCTTTCAACTATTGACAGTCATTGACACCCCGCTGTAAACAATTGCGTGTCAACAAAACCTGACGACCGAGAAAAGAAAATTTTATGGTTACTAATGATAAATAACATATCGAACTAACAATTTTTGAAACTGACATAGATTGTCATTTGATTTGTTGAATTGAAATTAAGAAATTTATTAATTCTGCATTTACACAAAATTATGATCACTAAACTATATTTTGCTTATGTCTACAATAACATTTTCACTGTTTTACTGTCAACATACAACATTGCAAAATATTACAGTTACGAATTCTTAGTAGTCTATGTCTATGATGGAAATATGAAGATTAGATGGTAACTCCCTGTTTTATGTTCAAAACTAAATTTTATGTGTATATAATACCAAAACAAAGAACATCATTGTTTTTAAACTTTGTTTTCAGTTTCTAATAAATTTATAGTTTTAATTTTTATCTATAAAGAAAATTCACTATTTGAAATAGGTTTTTTATATTTGTTTGACTGTTGAAATAAATTAATATTCTTATAATTTATTAAATGTGTGATATTAACTATATTAATTTGTTTGGGCTACGAGAATTCACCAAAACATTTTAATATATGGGCCATATAAACCAATGTTAAATACAATAGAGAAAAAATTCCATAAGTCGGCACTAAAATATATGCAAATAAAGTTGTGCAACTATAAAATGAAATCAATTTTTTATTCTTAATTAACCGAACAAATATTATGATATGAAAACATTGCTATTAAGCGCAAAATTGGCGATAAACTCGACCGATAAAAATATTATTGCGTAAGAAAAATGTGACAATAATAATAATTCCTTTCAATGAAATCAACGGCGGGGATTTTTCATAAATGCTGTTTTATTCGCTAGTGGCTGATGGGCACAAATGTAAACAAGACAAAAATAATTACTGTAACATCTACGAAGGTCGCATAATATAATAAACCTGATACGATTCCAATGTTCTAAGAATTGGCAAAAAGAGAAAGTTACTACATGTCGAAAATTGTTTATTGGTAAACAAATGGTTTAATATTATGATTATTGCTTATTTTGCGTATAAATACCTCATATCAAATTATATTAGATTAGATTTTATATACAAATTTTATTGTTAAAACGTTAAGCAAATCCATAACCGATTAAATCCGAGACTTTTGATTTTAACCCTTTCCACTCGGATGCCGCCGATTTCTCTATTTGCGAGTAAAAATGGTTAAACCACTTAAACCACTAACCAAATGAATTGATGATCATTTTGAACTCAAATCGCACTTATCGATTTCTAGTGCATAACTAAAAATAATCATGAGTTCAAGACAACTGGAATTTTATATCTTTGATCATTTTATATTCAATTATATTTACTGCAAATAAAATAATGGGCTCGCCCGTAGGTAAGCGGTTAAGAGCGACGGGACCTGAATCAGAGGTCCCGGGTTCGATACCCACTTCGAGCAGCCTGCTGTCAGGCAGCAGTGACAACGATTTTCACTTGGAAATATAGATAGCAATATATTCTTATAATTTTGATGGCTCAGTGATACCTAAATAATTTATAGAAATAGCTATGCGATTATTAATTACTTCATTTATAAGTTCAGCAATTAATTTGAATTTCTCAAACAGCCTAATTATCGCAACTATGTTTTGTCGTAATCTTAAGATCACAACAGGTAGTTTTAACTAAATAACCGAATAAAATAGAACTAATTACTACATGAAATAGAAAAAAAATCAACACTATTTAATGTAAAGCTTAGCATCTAAAAATAAGTGATCTAGCTGATGGCGACTACATAATAAATAAGTAAATTCGTACAAGCTGTTAGTAATCGAAGACCAACTTCACCCAAAATTGAAGATTGCGCATTTCTTACGCACAAATAGCTACATCTTGCAGACGTATGCAAATATTTTCAGAAATCTAATGGTGAATTAGGTCAAAGCAATGAGAAATAATTGTGTTTTTTCAGGTGAATCAATTTTTTAGATGTCTTGCGGAGTTTTAGCAAGAACTTATTATTACAATTATTTAATTATATGTGTATTTGATGGGTTGTTGTGATTTTATTATCAAGTACTTTTCGAAAAATGGAGACAATCCGGGACAAATATTGCTTTTAGAAAAACCCGGGACACAAGGTGAAAATTCGGGAATGTCCGGGCCACACCGGATTATGATATAAAAAATGAAATATAGTAGGTGGCTAAATACGGGTGCCGTAACAGCGGCTTCCATATATGTATAAATATGTAAAAAATGAATAAATACGTATATATGTATGAACATATGGAATTGTATTATCTGAATTGTACTTAAAAGTGTAGATATGAAAAAATTAAGGTAATGTTAAAAGACTTAATAGCAAAACACCAAAATGGGTTAAAAAATATCATTAATGCCATATAATATATCTCTAATAAAAAATATTTTAAATCTGAATTATTAGATACGTTAAAAATTATTAAAACATGTGAAAAAAGTAATTTAACATCATTTTCGTACAATTTTAAAATTAATAAAAAAAATCTAAATTATTTCATTAAAATACTAAATACCAAATACATGGTTTATACGCCGACAAATCACCGCAGGTGAGTATGAAAATGTTAAACACTTTCGAATAACTTAAAATATATAAACAAGCAAGAATAATATAAATAAACGTGATATCAGTCGATTTGATTCAATGAATCATAAAAAGCTTAAAACATAATATAATATATAACAATAAATAAAAATCATGAAGCGATTTTTTCAGTACACTAAACACACATTGGTTCAAGTCCAAGTGCATATATTGAATTATCCGACATACCATTTTCAGCATTATAGCCCCAAGAATTCATTTTGTCACTTTCAACAGAAGTTCAAAAGTAAATGTAGGAACAAAAACTAAATGACGATTTAAACAGTTTTATTTACAACCTGTGAACAGACACAAAACCACTTTATCACAAGTCCACGCTTTCGAAACAACTGAACTCGAGGCATGCCATGCGGTACCGTTTATACGCTCGCAGTCCGCTGGCTAGGGACGGCCAAAGGCAATGTAAACATTCAACTTTATTCGAAACTATTAATGTAATACAAGTACATGTACACATTACGCATTACGCATACTTCGTTACACATTGAGACAAATTTATAAAACTTTCCGTATTTTTAACAAACGTATTTTTTACCTTCCCGTAGGGCAAGTTATAGTAATCGCAAAAAAATCGGAAATGAAAATTTCTATATATCTTTACGTTTCAAAGGTTTTTGAACATTTTGGCATACCTTAGAAAAAATGGATGGATGTATGTGTGTGTGTGTGTGTGTATGTATGTATGTATGTATGTATGTATGTACGTGTGTGTATGTATGTGCGGATACAAATTTTCGTCGACGATTTCGGGAACACGGATCAACCGATTTGAATAATTAAAAAAACATTCGTTTCGTATTGATAAGGAGACGTGCTGATTAGTTTTTGGCAAAGGCAGGTCTAGCCGTTCCGAAGATACGGGGCAAAAAGTGCCGAAAATGGTAACTCAGTTTTTAAGAGAACGAAGCGTCCGATTTAAATAATTCAAAAAACATTTCACTTGTATTGACAAGATGAAGAATCGATAAAATTTTAATTCTGACTAAAGTTCTAATATATTTTAAACAAATAATTTCAACTTTGCAATTCAGTTTATATAATTCTTATAAATACTAAACAATGTTACAATATTTATAATAATCTATTTGAAAACATTCAATATTCGTTACGGTACGGTAAGTTCCAGCAATTTGCCTTGGCACGATGCCATACATCACTAGTTTTAGTTCATTAATGTACTTTTTAATTTTCGTAATAGTACGATACCCTCAATCAAGTAAAAACTTTGAAAAAATTTCGATTTTTGAGAATTTTGAAATGTTTGAAAATATTGTTTTTTTTTTTAAAACGGAACCCATAAGTATATGTTATAATTTTTGATGAAATAATAGTGAATAATTTATATTATATGCAATGCAAATACGCTTGCATGTGGATTTAGTTTTATAATTCAATAATCATAAATAATATCATTGTTCAATAGTTTTCAATTTTATGAGATGAATGGTCATCCCTGATCTCAAATGATGACGCTTACTTCCGATCTACCATCGGAAAGCCATCTAAAAGTATTTCGCATATTTTGATCAATGATTATTATTTTATTATGCATATAACATACAAATAGAATTAATTATTTAGAATTATTATAATTTATAATTTGATATTAATTTTGTCATTTTTGTTTTTCTGTATATATAATAAAATAATTATATCGAAATGATCGATATGCAAGCCTAAGTTTGATTCAATTAGAATTATTTTATATCCAAAGACATATGCAAAATCTTTGATAGCAAAATGCTAGAAAAAAAATGAACAGTAGAAAAAAAAATTATTATATTAGTATGAGTTAAACTCATTCATTAAAAATTCTATACAAGCATTTCAAGCCTAAAAATATTTGTTGAATTCAGTGGTACTATGAAAATATTTATGTTGGAATGTTATTGTATAATTCTAAGTAATGACAAAACAATGCTACACGCAATTGTGTAATAATACATATAAAAATATTCATTTGTAACGTTTGGGCTCGCCCGTAGGTAAGCGGTTAAGAGCGACGGGACTCGTTTCAGAGGTCCCGGGTTCGATACCCACTTCGAGCAGCCTGTTGTCAGGCAGCAGTGACAACGATTTCTACTTAAAAATATAGATAGCAATATGTTTCCAAGTGAAAATAGCCCTCACCCGGCATTGCTGCACCAATAAAATGTCAGCCCTATTAGATTAATTCCAATAAGAAAAATCATCAGATATGGATGGATTAACCATTGGGTTACCATCTAAACTAGCTGTAAGTGGAATTCTGTCTTAAGGCAATTAGGGCATCGTGCCTTAAGGCAAATTGCTGGAACTTCCCGTACCAAAAATTATTTTTTTTTTAAAAACGATTAACATTTTTGAAAAAAATTTACTTTGAAAAAATGAGATTTTTGAGAAACTATAAATTTGACAAAAAATTACTTTTTTTTGAAAAAAAAATTTTTTTTTAATTTTTTTTTTTGAAAAAAATTTTTTTTTTCTTTATTTTGACATATTGTGGAAGATCTGAACTTTCTTTTCAAAGCAATCGTACTGCTTTAACTGCATAGGGACAAAATATAAAGCGCGTAAGCGCCGCGTCGCTGTCTAACACATGAGCATTGGTACGGAACCCATAGGAATGTTAACAAAATGTATAATTATTGTTAAAATCTCTATAAAATATCTGATAATTTGATGTGCATATGTCTAATGATCATTTTTGACCGCCAAATGGCCCATTTTTTTACTTTTTCCTCTATATCTCCGAAACCGCTAGACCTACCTTCATGAAAATTTTATCGATTCTTCATCTTGTCAATACAAGTGAAATGTTTTTTGAATTATTCAAATCGGACGCTCCGTTCTCTTAAAAGCTGAGGTACCGTTTTTGGCACTTTTTGCCCCATATCTCCGGAACGGCTAGACCTGCCTTTGCCAAAAACTAATCAGCACGTCTCCTTATCAATACGAATCGAATGTTTTTTAAATTATTCAAATCGGTTGATCCGTGTTCTCGAAATCGTCGACGAAAATTTGTATCCGCACATACAAACACACACATACATACATACACACACACATACACACACACACACACACATTCATCCATTTTTTCTAAGGTATGCCAAAATGTTCAGAAACCTCTGAAATGTAAAGATATATAAAAATTTTCATTTTTGATTTTTTTGCGATTACTATAACTTGCCCTACGGGAAGTTAAAAAAAAAAAATACGAAGTAAGGAGAAGTTTCAGCCCAACAGCTCATCGGACGTAAGGTTCTTATTGCTGTTCAAAAAAAATAATAATAAAAAAAATGGTAGTATATTATATTATATATTTATTTACAATAATTTCTTTGTATATATATATATATATATATATATATATATATATATATATTTATACATATATATATATATATATATATATATATATTTATACATATATATATATATATATATATATATATGGGTGTGTGTGTGAGAGAGAGTATTCTACAGTGTAATGGTTAAGCTCACGGGCCTGCCCTAAGGCATTACTACCCATTATTATTATCATATTTAATTAGTTTTACATCGTTTTCAAAAACGATTATGACCGTGTGGGATCTGAGCTCCATTCCAAATATTGAATTAATATTAACACTATAATAATTTAATATTTCAATGCAATATTTTAGTATAATTTTTGCAAAAATAATAGAAATTTCAAAAGTATTTAATAAATTACATTATATTTGCTGTTTGAAGTTTAAGATGTAATATTATATTAATAAATGGCCACATAGATAAAATATCTTATTACTTACTCTATTGAGTTAAGTCTTCATATCTATCGAAGAAAAATGCGTTTATACCATTTTCAGTTTTCTAATTATTGTTAAATCTAAAAATATTGACACTAAAATAGCTTAGTCGAATAAAAAGTAGTAAAACGAAGAAACTTTCGCCCGAGTGCTTTGAATTTCTATGATTAGACTAAATGAGTTTAGGTCTAATTTCCCAACTCGAGCGCGTACGCCGGCCGACCATGCATGTTCCGGCGTGGCTCACTGTCGCGATCCATGAGATACCGCGAGAGCTGAAATATACATCATTAGAGGATGTACATGATCAAAACGAAAAGACTGCTGGAAAATAAAAACAATTACTTCTGTTTACACTCTACATTAAAAATACACACAAGAAGATCACATATTTATTTTTTAAATTTTAGCAATTCACATAAATAAAAGTATTATCTACGGCAAACATTTGTTGCATATGTCATATTATCTTATTTGCTCGATGCCATGTGATGTACAGAAATAGAAGCTGATATATAAAATACCGATTGGAAAAAATGTCAACTTTTCAATTAGACCAGAGAGTGGAGCTTTATGTTGTTATATATTTGGTTTATTTTAGTTATATGCCATTCGTATTTTATTAATTCTCTACTATGATAAAATATAGCCATAAATTATTATTTAACTTCATAATCTTTGTACTGTTATCAGGGCCGGATTTAGAAATTTGGCGCCCTGGGGCACTGACAAAAATGTCGCCCCATTCCTGAATTTATACTTAAAATAGTTTTTATATATCATTTTTTTTAAATTAAAATAACTTGAATGCAAAAAATTTATTACACATACTATAAATAGTTGTGCTTGGCATCGTGCCTTAAGGCAAATTGCTGGAACTTCCCGTACCAAAAATTAAAATTAAGAATTTAATATTAAAATTAATATTTTGAGAAACTAATTATTAATTAATTAGTTTCTCAAAAATCTTATTTTTTCAAAGTAAATTTTTTTCAAAAATGTTAATCGTTTTTAAAAAAATAATAATTTTTGGTACGGGAAGTTCCAGCAATTTGCCTTAAGGCACGACGCCTTAATTGCCTTAAGACAGAATTCCACTTACAGCTAGTTTTCAAAGCAATCGTACTGCTTGAACTGTATAGAGACGAAATGTCAAAGTGCGTAAGTGCCGCGCCGCCGTCTAACGGATAAGCATTGGTACGGAATCCATAGAAATGTAAAAAAAAAATATACTTATTGTTAAAATCTCTATAAAATATCTGATAATTTGACGTGTATATATGTCTAATGATCATTTTTGACCGCCAAATGGCATTTTTTTTACTTTTTTCATTACATGAATTCTTCATCTTGTCAATACAAGTGAAATGTATTTTGAATTATTAAAATCGGACGCTCCGTTCTCTTAAAAACTGAGTTACCATTTTGGCACTTTTTGCCCCGTATCTTCGGAACGGCTAGACCTGCCTTCGCCAAAAACTAATCAGCACGTCTCCTTATCAATACGAATCGAATGTTTTTTGAATTATTCAAATCGGTTGATCT